ATCTTAAAGTGACCGCTAAATCGCCTCCTTTAATTTAGTTTTGGTGAAGAGGACCAATACAATTTTTGCCAACAAACTTTATGAGAATATATTGAGGCTTCAGTTTTGGTTTTGTACATGGATTTTTTGTAATCTTCTTTTGTACACGGAATACGTTGTTTAATATCCATAAGTGTAGTTTGAACGTGTTGACAGATTGTTCATTCAGCTAATATCTGTTTGCATGATTCTTTATTTTCCTTATTCACTGTTTAAGAACTTTGAGTGTTTGTAGATGCTTTTGTGCCTCTATCGAGTCCACTAATCGCAAGCCGTTTTCAGCTACATTTTACTCGGAGTATCCAAACTTTATTGGTACTAAATTGGATCACATGTACTCACAAGGTAAAATTTCATGGTGTTATATAGTTTCTTTTAAAATTCAAAGTCAGCAATCACAATTGCAAAAGATTTTCAGCAAAATTGAATAAGTGAAGAGGTAAGGCATACTTAATTAGCCACTTAGCTATGGCTGTGAAACTAGGAAAAGATCTAGATACGAGCGTCTCAAAATTTCTGTATTAGTTAGTAGTTCCTTAGGAGAACTCAAGAATTGTGTTAGATAAAATTTTTAGAAAAAAGTCATTCCGTCGTTTAGAAAAATAAAGAATTGTTGAATAAACAGTGAATTCCCTTTTTCCACAAAAATAATTTAAAGTGGGAATGCTTCAAAGTTATAAATCGAGAAATATCGATTTTAGAGTTTCATTTTTGGTTTAGCATATAGGGTACCTAGGACGCAGATCATTTTTGTTAATATCATGTAGAAATCAGTGATCCAAAAAAGATAACATATGCTTAACCAAGGAGTCTAATCCGTATTATTATCTCTTTCATGTCTGCTACAAATTCCTTGTGAAATATCTCAATTCTTACCTACCAGAGGAAATTATGGAAGGATTGAATTGATGTAAAATATTCATGCATTTTATGGACTACACATGAAATACATTAGCATGTTTTGTGACGTTTATTTGCCGCCTAATCCCTGAATTTAATTTAACATTTTTGCCGGAACAAAATCTCTGTAATCTCGAGAAAATATTGCACCGAGTAATATTTTTCCATGCATTTTAAATATATTAGCTTTGGAGTTTCTTTCGTTACTTGTCGTGCAATTGTTTATCATCCTCCCCCTTCTGTTTTTTCAGGGCCCTTGTTTACAAGAGACGGCAGCAGTACTCTCCATATTCAGACAAGAAGAAGCTATGTCCAAACCTCTGCAGTGGCTATATGGAGCTGAAAGATTTAACTTTTGATTGAAGACAAGTCCGTGTCAGGATATGGTTATCTCAATAAATTCAACGGTCTATTTTGTTATAACAATCAATTTTTTTCAAGCTTTTGAAGGTTTCAGAATATGCTTAGAAAAATAGATAAGTTCGACTGTAAAAAGTAATAAGTTGAAAAACCTGTGATTTTGAATGTAAGAAACTAGGAGGCAGCTATCCTTCTGCAAATGCAATTTTGTAAACTTAGTGAATGTCGGCAGCTTCTCACACTTTTCTTTTGTCGTACGTATCATGTGACAGAATATGATACTGACGTAAGTCATTATTTTTTATTTTTTCTGCATTGTATTTTATTGGAATTTTAATACTCATTTAAAGTAAGTATTACCACAGGTGTTACTGAGAACAATCAGAAACTTTTTTAGAACAATCATTTCTCTTTCCAAGAGATTTCTGAAATAAAACTATGTGAAATATCAGTAGAGTATTGTAACAGCCTATTGAGCATGAAACTTAGAATTTCTCAGTGGAATTCTTAGGGAACGAAGCTGCTTTTTGTAAAATATGACTTGCTATTCTTTCTCCTATCCTATTTAGCCCTGCCTGGATAGAAGGCAATTAAAACAGGGAAAAAAGAAACGCACGCTTTTATGTTTATGGAAAAAAAATCCTTCCATGTAGCCAAATAAACTTGTTAAGAAAATTGTCTGATTTAATAATCTAGTCACAAGAGAAGAGAGAAGTTCTTTTCTACCTCCTTCTACAGTTTTTTACTTACTCAATTACTCATAATTGTATTATTTCTGCTTGAACTTCCTACTCATGAACAGAAACACAGGTTTATTTTTTTACGTAGCTAAGTACTACATAATTTGTATGGTTAAAGTGCTGTAATATAAGTTGGTAATTTTATTTTTTCTCTCGTCATTTTTTTAAGAAAAAGTAAGATGATGCTTTAGAAGTGATACAAATTTTTTTAGTTGCACAAAAAATGTGTCTGTTAGAATCTGTTTATACAAGCATGTACATAAGCACTTTTTCTCGACAAAGCCGATATTTTCCTTAAGATTCCAAGCGCCAAAATTCAAATTTCAAAAAAAAAAAAAACAGGGAAAAGTGTGTCATCTGGCATGTGTTCAATCTTCTGAGACCCAAAAAGGTATCTATCTGAAGAATATCTATTGAAACTAAGCTCAAAAGGTTGAACTTACGCTGGATGACACACTTTTTTCTGTTTTTCTGGAGGCTTAGATTTTGGCACTTGGATCTTTGAGAAAAATATCAGTTCAGTTTTGGTTAATTTTTGATGATTGCTATATGACAATATTTTGAATATGATCAAAATCAAGTCAATTTGTCCATTAAATTATCTCTTTTACATGTCATGCCTTTTTGAAAGGGGACATGTACGTAGATGTTTGTAGATGTGTAGATTTCAGTAGCTTCTGACTCTAGTCACAATTTAAAAATCTAGCTCATTTCTCTCATGAGAGCTGTGTATTTTACCTAGTTTCTTTGACTCTTAAATATTTGAACTAGTCAAAACTTTAAATTATTATTTTGCCTCCTCTTTGTTTTACGTAGTTTCTATTTTTTTCAATGAACTGCAGTACCTCCATACGCTACACTGACAGAGAAAAATGGAGGGTATTTTTTGATAGACCTAATCTCAATTGGTAGTGTAGAGAGACTATTTTTTGCTCTCAATCACAATGGGTCAAGAACTGAATATTCAACGCAGTTACTTGTGTGCTCATCCCAATTCATCAAGTATGGGGTCATTCATGAAATACATAGGTAACACTCGGGGAGGGGGGGAGGCAGAGTCAAGAAGACCATTATGCTATCTCATTCTTAAATGTTGAACGATAGGGAACTAAGTCACAAAAGTGTTAAAAGGGGGAGGGGAGGTCCGTTAATCCAAATTGTAGTGTTAGGTACATATATTATGAACAGCCCCATTGCATAAAATTCATGCATGTAAGCATTGTATAGATTTTGAGGAGGTCTTTTGTATCATAAAACAATTTTTATATCCAAGTGCTTCGTTATTTACCAACCTATCCTCGCCTTGCATAATCTAATTATTAGTTCGGGATAACTCAGCAAAAAGATTTGAAATATTGCGTATGTTATTGTTTTGTACTTGTAACTGGTTCTCCCTCTCCCTTCCTATTTTTTGGCCAGTCTATCTTAATGCTTGGTCTTTAATTTTTATAATTCAGTACCTATATTGTAAGTAATTTATACTTCACTATTTTTAAAGACTTATTTTTGTATTGGAGAAACCGTTACAATTGAGGTAAGGCCTTGTAAGTTAAACACTGAAGCTAAGTTTTTGCCAATGATTTTATGTTTAAAATGAACTCAAAGTGTAAAATTATGTACATATATTCTCTGTTTAACTTCAATATAGAAATAGCAAACTTGATTGATATTTCTTTATTTTAGAGGTTTGTTTTTACTATGAAATTATTTTTGTAACCCAACCACCGATATGGCAAGGGAAGTTCCTCATTATTGATTTTAGTCAAGTATGGTGTTTATTTTTTTTTTGCTGCTTAATAGTAAATATCTAAGTTTAGTTAGTGTGTTTTTTTTTACTTTAGGCCCGGTTCCGCTCAATGGCTCAAAAGCTGTTCCCAAATAACTTGACATTTTTAAAGATATCCCATTGAATATGGATAGATCAAAGAGTGTTTAAGTGTTCAGTGTAATTGATTACAGGCTGGTTCATTACCTTTCAAGAGGTACGTAAAATTACCCATGATACCTAAACCTTTCTTTAGTATGCACCAAAGCACACATTTTGTCGAGCCCGATTATTATCAGAAAGTAAGACTCACTGAACAGTTATTTTAGGACAACTTTTGCTCTCACAATTACCTAGACTTTGTAAATTAAGTTTTTGACTTTAACATCATTTGTATGGTCAATCAAGAGGAAATATTTTATGTGACCTCAGTTATGTGTACAGTTTATGTTATTATTTATTTATTTAATTTTTTTTTTATGAAATAATTACTCAAACTCAAATTCAACAAAACATTGTAGAAAATGTAAAAATCCAATGCCCTAAAAACAATCGTTTGCACTTTCAAGTTAAATTTTTAAAAAAAGGGAACCAAATACAAAAGAAGGGGGATAAAAATCCTTTTTACATCAATTTATTCAGTTGTGAAAACATCGGGTAAGTATGTACAATTTTATGGTGCTTACAACTCCTAAGGCTTAAAAATGTCCAAAAAAATTCTGTGGTGTTAACCTGAATTTACTTACAGGTGGTGATTTTTTTTTGATTCTAGCACACATACAACCAATCACAGAAAATTACAAGTTTTAGTAACATTCATGGTGCATTGACATATATTTTCAGATAAAAATCAGGAAGACAATACTTTTAGTGTGAATATTTTGTCCTCGCATAGTATCCTTAAGTATTTTCCAGCCCTCAGTAACCAAATATGTTTGAAAGCACATTAACCAAAAACTGAACAGAATTTACTTTAATCCTGTTTTGTCGTACATCCTTCAATGTTTCATGAAGAAGTCTCAAAATTTGAAGAGGAATACTTCAAAGTTGAACCATGAAATGTTGGCGGTAATGAAATTTAAATCACACTCTGTTGATTTGCATGAAAATGCTATCTACGGATACACTTGGAGGACTAGTCTGAAGGTGAAAATTTCAGAATTTCATTATCATTTCCCTAGGTTTTCCTCCTTGGCTTTTTATAGCTTTATATTCTTTAAAGGATCCAACATTTTGTAGTTCACCGGCAACTTTGTTGTTTATGCCCTAGATTATTTTCCAGTCTTGTTACTTAGGTAGGCTCTGTTGTTAATCTTTGCTTTCATTGTGCAAAGAAAAGTTGAAAAGCGATCTATTTTTATCTGTATATATGTACTATTGCTAAAACAAATTTTATATTTGATTAAAAAACCAGTAAAAAGTAGATCGAAGCCTTTCTTTTTTCAATCTTGCTACCTCTGCAGTTTCCCCTTTAATTAAGAACCCTTAACTGGCAGAATAAGTAGATGAGTCAGGTATTACTCTTGAAATAGCCACATTGTAAACATTAAGACATGCAATCAATGTAACTCTTAACGGTTAAGGAGTGACTGTTAATATTTCCTGAATTAAACATAGGTACTTTAAAGATCATATTTTTCTGTTTTATAAACTTCCGGAATTTTTTTTACAACATCTACCTACCTCTGGACTAAAAATCTTAATAGTCAAGGTAATGTAATTTTATTGCTAATAATGTTCTGTAGGTACATGCTTTATATTGGGGATTTTGACATTTCCTGACAAATACCTACTCAATCATGGTTAGCCCCTTATTTGAAAGAACACAACAGTTTTGAGATCAGAGTTCCATACATTTGAAATTGGACTTTTTAGAATTTGCCCCAATTTTTCTTTTGTCACTCTTATCCTTCACCTCTAAGTGTGTAAGCAATTAATGTTGCTTCAATTCTTAAAGCAAAATACCACCCATCTCCTCAGCTGAGAAAGTTGTATACAAAAGAATTTTATCACACAGCTTTCTTTCAACTAGAGGTTATTTTCCCTTGGAGGATCTGTCACGTACGTCAGCTCATTCAAATAGTACCTAGAAAAAAAGCAAAATAATATTAAGAAGAGGTTCAGACCTGAGGCTATGATTCTTAAATAGGATACGTTGACAATTTCAGCTGTTACCACGATGAACAATCTCAGTCCTCTTGAATTCAAAATTATGCCCCAGACTATACAGGGTGATCCAAAAGTCCCTTCCACCCTCTCTAACTTTTTACCTAATTGAGATAAAGATTTGAAACTTGGGGGATATTCCTAGGTCAAAAGGGACTACTTTTCGGCCCCCCTACAATTTTCAGGGGGGCCCCCTTGGGGGGGAGGGGCAACGGCCCCCAACTTTAAATTTTCAAATGGGAAGACCCCCTTTGTGTGATAGCTCGTTCGAAAGAGCATAAAAAAAGAAAACTTTTCGCGCAAACCCGAAGTCAATATCTCAAACCGTTTCAAAATGGCGGCCGGTTAAAGTTCAAAATGGCCGAAATTTCACACCGGTTATTTGTCGATGGATTTGCGCGAAAATTGGTATGTAGGGGTATTTTGACACGAGAAAAACGAATTTGACGTTAGATTTTCAAAAAACCGAAATTTCCAAAATGGCCGCCGGTTAAAGTTCGAAATGACCAAAAATTTATTTTTTTATAAATCTAAGTTCAAATTTGTTTATCTTATGCCAAAATACTCTCAAATTCCAAGTTTTAGGCAAATCCATCGGGAAAAAACCAAGGTGAAAATTTTCGGCCATTTTAAACTTTAACCGGCAGCCATTTTGGAAATTTTGGTTTTTTTGAAAATCTAACGTCAAATTCGTTTTTCTCGTGTCAAAATACCCCTACGTACCGATTTTCGCGCAAATCCATCGACAAATAACCGGTGTGAAATTTCGGCCATTTTGAACTTTAACCGGCCGCCATTTTGAAACGGTTTGAGATATTGACTTCGGGTTTGCGCGAAAAGTTTTCTTTTTTTATGCTCTTTCGAATGAGCTATCACAAAGGGGGTCTTCCCATTTAAAAATTTAAAGTTGGGGGCCGTTGCCCCCCAAGGGGGGCCCCCCTGAAAATTGTAGGGGGGCCGAAAAGTAGCTCCCTTTGACCTAGGAATATTCCCCAAGTTTCAAATTTTTATAAAAAGTTAGAGGGGGTGGAAGGGACTTTTGGATCACCCTGTAGAGAAGTGCTCTGCAAGAATGTTCAGACAAAATTGTCAAATCGATGGCCAAAGTGCGAAACCATTTACTTGTCTCCGTTTGCAACGTCGTGGACTCCCTGTCATACAAATACTTTATTTTACCTCTGAAAAACTATTTAACGTAATATCTTGAAAACTCCCTTGATTTTTATTCTCTATTAGCAGAATACTGTATGTACTGTTTCAAGCTGTAAAGTTGTCTTGTTTCTCTCGGCAAAAATGAAATACGAGCGGAAATTTTGAAACACCGCAATGGAGATACGTGGTTTTGCACTTTAGCCATCGAAAATACCCCTGAATTATGTAGGTCTCACGGTTTCAGTGCAAAAAACGTAGTTTCAATGGAAAGCTGTCGAAAAAGTCTTCTATGTTCACATTACAAAATTCCCGAATTACTATCTAATTTTACACTCTTAATTGGTACAAAATTGAACTAATTCGATCATAACTTATTGCTTTAAGACCTCAGTGAGAGTATTCTGGCGAAATCCCACAATCGAATTTTTCAACACAAGTGGACAAAAATCTCTCAACTGAAAACGTTTCCTCTATGGAATAGGTACCTACCTACCTAAGGTTCCTTTTCCTATTGGCAGAGACACAAGCTGTATTTTACTTTGTGTCTTGCATGAATGAGTATGGTTGGTTTAGAGTTGCATAAAATTTGTTTTAGATTTTTTTTCCTAACTTATTTTTTTTAAGTATATTTATAAGAAAAATCTAAAAAGAGTTTTCTTGACTGACAATTTTACAACCCTGGTAAAAATTGGCGATAGGAGCTGCGTTTCAAAATACCACAGGAGCTCCTATAGCCGACTGAAGAAGGCGATAGAAAATCATATAGCTGGCTGTAGAAAGTGGAAAAAATCATATGGCCGGGCTACACGAAGCGATAAAAAATTATACAGCCGGGCTATAGTTCTTATCGCCGGGCTTTACACTTTATCGCCTGGCTGTTGCTTTTTCGCCATCGGCTATAAAAGGCTATGAGAAATAATGTAGAAATTCGTGTGCTTTGTAAATCCTTGAGTTTGTACAGAATCACCTTAATATTTACAAAACGCACATTATATATTCCTTTACTACATATTTTTTTTTCATCAATTAAAATGAGAATAATCTATACAGAGTGTGCAAAAATTTCACAGTCATGAGTTGAAAAACGCTGACTCCACGAGATTAAATATTAGATCCCAACACAAAGCAGAGCGGCGGCACACTGGCGCCTACAAACCTAACAGGGATACTTCACGCATTGCGCAATGTGTGAAGTATCCCTGTTAGGTTTGTAGGCGCCAATGCGCTGGCTGCCCGCCCGCCGCGCGGCGCCGCAGCGTACCACGGCGCTTGAAGCAACTATTTCACAACAGAAGTATTGTACAGTATCATACGAAATTGCAGGCGCTCCAACATGTTAGGAATGGCAGGCATCCTTCAAAAGTACAGAGCTTTCCTGGCAAAATAAATCAAAACTGCCCAAAAAGAGAGCGATAGTCCAAAAACTCACTAAGTCCTAGCATCCGTAATTAGTAGCGTTTAGTATACACTTTATTGCCAGGCTCTTGCTTAGTCGCCATCGGCTATAAAAGGCTATAAGAAATTGTGTTGCCGGCTATAGAAACTATTGGAAATCTTACAGCCGGCTGTAGGTCTATGGTACTTTGGGACACAGATTCTATTGCCAATTTTTACCAGGGAAGTTTTTTTTCTCTTTTTTTTAACGAATAGACGGTAAACTGAAATGAATGTCTTAAGTACTCACCAGTCCTGTGACTGAGCGCAGTCAAAGTTGTAAACCCAATCACAAATGCGATATTGCTGATTGAAGGAGGTGTCATTTGCGCAGATGTATGGAACTCTCCTACCATCCTCATCACACATGTGGAAAATTTGACAGTGATGCTCCGTGTCTGCATAAAATCCAACTGCTCTGTCCGTGCAGTCGAATGTGAAGGTCAGATTAGGAAAATTCTCCCATCGTTTTGCCTGAAAATTAGCAGAAATTGATAAATCGATACCCAAAGTGCGAAACTGCGTATCTCTGTTGCGGTGCTTCAAAAATGTTGCTCTTTTTTTCTTTTTTCGAAGAAAAACAAGTAATCTTTAATGCTTAAAAATACAGAATATTCTGTCATAAATAGAGAAGAAAGACCAAGGAAGTTTTTACAAACTACAGTGACTAATTTTCAAAGAAGACATAAAGAATTATCTGCAACGTTGTAAACGGAGTTACGTGGTTTCACACTTTGCTCATCAAAATGGTAAAGAATTGGGCACATTTAAATAGTGATATATCGCCCACTTCCTCATACCAGGGCCGAATTTACCTACTTGCCGCCCATGGGGGCCGCCTATATTTTGCCGCCCCCTTCTCATTCGTGTTGAAACATCAATAAAAACCATCAAGTGAACGTGCCGAAAGCGGAGGGGTGCCAAAGACGCGTTTACTCGTGTTATGGGCACACTTTTTGCGAAGGCCTTGTCAACACTACTAGCAAAAGTTCACGGAACCTTGCGTTGCGTTAGAAGTTAAGTTCCGTAAATCTATCTCTGTGTGGACAAGACCTTCCATTTATAAGAAATGAACGAAAAATTATGAAAGAACAAACATATCGACGGTGAAACTACCAAACCACGTATCTCGGTTTGCGACGTCGCAGACTTCCTGTCATACTTTATTTTTTAAATGAAAAACTACTTAACGTCTAGTCTTGAAAATTTCTGTGATTTTTCCTCTCGGTGCGGAGAAAAATCTGTGAAAATTATAAGGAATGATATAAATTTGATTTCCTTACAAAAAATAAAATGTGAGTGGAGATTTTTAAACACCGCAAACGAGATACGTGGTCTGGTAGTTTCACCGTCGATATATGAGGTTTAATGATTTTAATTTCCACCGTCGCGCCGCGCTGACCGCACTGTGCTTGGTGCAATCCGTGAAGTATTCCTTCAGTCTCGTAGGCGCTACGCGTTTCACGCCGCGCCGACCGCTGCTGAACGCACTGTTTTTGACGCAATGCGTGAAGTAGTCATGCAGTCTTGTAGGCGCTAATATGTGTTACATGCCGACTGCGCGCCGAGGGCCTCTCCTTTTTATCTCAAGTCCTCGTCATTGCTGTCTGCGCCGCGCCGCTCCAGGACGAATTGCGTGTTTGACTTCTATCTTAATTTGACTAAATAAAGGTGGTGTCTCTTGTATCACCGAAAGAAGACAAAATTAGAAATTACTATACTCTCAAGAAATGAGCGATTTTGTCGCCTTTTCTCGCTTGTAATTTTTATTCTGAATCCGATTCTTGTTTTTATACCTACATTTGAAAAAATTGCAAAATTTGCCACCCCCCTAAATTTGCCGCTATGGGCCGCGGCCCATGTGGCCACCCCCTAAATCCGGCCTCATACAAGTTTTATTGGTCACCTCTTTTCAACTTTAGCTTTACTTAAGCTGCTTTTCATAAGCAGGGCGTTCAGAAGTAACCTTATTCCTTTTTTCGAAAAATATCTTCTGATCTTACTGATAAACTAGTTTTCACTCCAAAAATCTGAATCGAAGTAAAGCCAGCAAAACAAAATACATCATTAGTTCAATTGTGAAACTATCAGTAACTTGGGGTCCATGCATGAAAGGCTATAGGGTACTCAACTAGATACGTTAAGCAACAGAACGTAAGCATTATTTTACTCACCCTTCGATGGATCGTTTCTGTTGGTTTTGAATTTACGTACACAAAAGCTGGAAAATAAAAGAAAAATAAACAGTATTATGTGCCTTGCGTTTAGGATAAAGAGACGTCAGCGTTAAAATCATAGAAAGGTGTTAGACTGTGACGCACTGCAGAAGGCGTTTTTTGAAACACCTCCTAGAAGTTTGAGAGTTGACTATTTTAACTCTGCAGTTGTGCTAGGTTGCATCCTCCTATTTGGAAGGCGTTTGCGCCAGAGGACGCTTTAACCTTAAATAAGGCCGTTGCTCTTCCATATTTGGACGAGGCAAAAGTGAATTTATCATCGTGTATCGTCTCAAAAGTTGAGGATCCTTCGCACCTGATTTATTAAAATATTTTGGTCTCTCGATTGCAACAAAATACTGTTTCGTTACTCAACAAATGACTGACGGTTGAAAAATTGAGCTATGCGCTCAAAAATCGCGTATCCTCTTAGTGATTAATGGTCCTAGGCTGTAAGCTCGACCAGACGGACTGCGTACATCATACGATTTGCAATGCCGTCTTCTAGGCATTTAAACTTCAAACTGAGCGAGCGGGGCAGGGCAGGGGGAGACGTGAGCCCATCGATAGCACGATTGACTGTTGATTTAAAGCTGTCGATCCGACAATTATTCTTGCCAGTGTTGCCATGTCAAGGAAAAACGCCAAATCGACGATCCCCTCCCGAAAGAACGTAATTACATTTCAATGTTGCCAAATTTCCCATCGCAAGTAGCATTTTTACCATGAGAATCTTGGGGATTTCTAATTTAAAATTTCACCGATTTTTCCTCTGATCTCATGTGAAAATCAGACAAATTTTGGACAAAAATTGTGCATGCATATTCGTGTAATAAATTGAAATTTGTCGTCAATTTGGCAACTTTGGGGTAGAGTTATGTTCCTTCGTCTGGAAACGACGAAATGAGTCAAAGAAGGTTGCCAAAATTTGTTTGTATGGTTTAAGCAATTTTGAGAAACTTGCAAATATTTTCCCTCCAATTTTTGAGAAAAAATTATTCGCAATTTCATCTAAAAAATCTGAAACTTCGATGAAATACATCCACAACTTTCCTAAAAAAAAAAAAAAAAAGTATCCTTTCGGTGGAAATTGTTCAACATTCGATCATTTATACGTCATTTTTTAGCACTGCGATGAGGCGGTGTGGGAAGTAATGAACAGGTTTACTTTCATTTTTCTAGCAGCTCAGAATTTTCTCACGGGTTGGACTGCCATGCTAAGGAAAAACGCCGTAAGTGCATTCGAAGGTTGCCAAACTTCCTCTCAGAAAATATCTATTTTTGATGACTGTCACGAATTTCCGCGATATTTCCTCCTCACGATATTTCCTTTTGAAATTTGAAAACTTTTTAGATCAAATTGCGAACGAGATCCTCCAAAAAAGCGGAAGAGAAATATTCAAAAATTTTCCTGAAAATTCTAGATTTGTCGAGAAAAATTTTGCAATGCCTGATTGCTCATACGGCGCTCTTCCTTAGCACGGCAGTTTACCGCCATGCTAAGGAAGAACGTCGTATGAGCCTTCAGACGTTGCCAACTTTCCTTTGATAAGAATCGAATTTACCGGGAAAATCCTGAATATTTCTCCTCCAATTTTTCAGAGTATATTGTTCACAATTGAATCTAAAATATCTGAAAATTTCAAGGAAAAGTATGCAAAACTCTCCTCAAAAATACATGTTTTATTCGAGGAAATTTGGCAACTCTCGAAGGCTCATACGGCGTTCTTCCTTAGCAGGACAGTATAGGTAACCCTACGACCTGTTTTTCCATTTATAGTGCTAGATGAAGGTACGTCTGGAATGAGCGGGTGGTTGGATGTGCATTCGAAAAAATTTTTGAAGCAAGTACCATTCCGCAGATGCTCCGGTCAAGTGAGGTGTGACCGGTTGCCAAAGTGGCCACAAATCGTCGCTTCTCTGACCTAAGGGCGTATCTCGATCTGTGCGTGAGCCCTGTTCTCCGTATAGTTCTATACTTCATGGAGCTCAATTGGAAATAAAGATATGCGCTTATGCCAGAGGGACGGTGAAATTAGGTGAGTTTCCGTGTTGGCAGTCCTTAGCTCCGTTACTTTGTCGTTTTTATGTAACCGATTTGCATTCAACTCTTCGGTCAAGAGCCGTACGAATGTAATGTAATAGTCTCGCCTTTGATCCTAGATCCCTCAAACTGAGCGAGCACGGGTCAGCTCCCCGATGACGAGGCGTGCTTTGCGATACATCGATTGATCTGCCATTCAAACCTACGGGAAAGGATCGATGAACAGGGTAATCGCAACGAACGCCTCAATAATCGATTCTTTACCACAGCTTCAAACGGGGAAATATCGATAATCGATCGCCGTTGCCGTTCCGAATCGGAGCCATCTCTATTTACTTACGCGGTCATTCAAAACCCCCGATATTGAATAATGATGACATAAATGCTGCGGCTCGCATAAATCCATCAGGTTGTTTTTTTTCTATGATGCGTTAAAGTCACCGAGAGGGCTAATCGGACTTATGAGGTCGCGAGCTTTTTGAAATATGAGTAATGCTAAGACGAGCAGTCATATTTATTTCAACAAATCCATTAGGTTGTTTTTTCTAGTCCCGCGTTAAAGTCTCTCGGAGGACACGTCTTACTACCGCCGTGCTGAGGAAGAACGCCGTATGAACATTCGAGAGTTGCCAAATTTCTTTCGATAAAATGTTTATTTTCAAAGAAAGTTATGAAAATTTTTCCTTGAAAGCAGAAACTTCCAGTGAAATTGCGAACAAAATTATCTGAACAATCGGAAAGAAAATATTCGTAACACTGGGGAAAAAACACATTGTATCTAGAGTCCAGACTCTTAAAAATATCGATAAGAAAAAATACTCTTGATTCAATCGGATTTTTGCTTAAATCAAGGACCAAGCCTCTGAATTTGAGCGGATTTCTTTTTGATTTAAGCTTAAATCTGATTGAATCAAGAGTATTTTTTCTTGTCAATGTTTTCAAGAGTCTGGACTCTAGATCCAATGTGCTTTTTTTCAGTGAAGTATACCAGGGAATTTATGTTTTATCAAAGGAAACTTGGCAACGCCTAATGGCTCATACGGCGTTTTTCCTTAGCACGGCAGACTAGACGTCATGCCACCGATGGACTGACGATGTGATGAAATTTTTCAAGCGAAATGTACCCTGACCTCTAAAAGCAGGTATCCTCTTTCTCTAATGCTCTTCAAGTTTATGAGCTGATTGATATGGATGGATTTGTCAACTGTCGTTTCGTTTATCAACAACCTGAATTGGCGAAATGGACCGCATTAAATGAAAATAAACCAAGTCGCATCAGCCATTGCCAAATTGCATCGAATGATTCGTTTTTACGTTGAAAGCTTTTCAAAATGATTCGAGGGGGTTGGAGGACAAGGCGCATGAGTGCAATTTTCGCTTTTCAAGTAATACGCCTGTTTAAAGTTTCAAAATTACACGGAGCCTTATGGCGGAAAGGAAGTTTAAACTCACTTCTTGATGCTTTAAAGTTGGATTTTGGTTGTGAATTTTTCACAGAATATACTTTCAAACTAGGTTTAGTTGAGCTCATCAGTGAGAGAGGCGTGAATGATCGATGATCGATTTTTTCCCATTTGAATAAGCTGTGGTAAAGAATCGATTATTAAGGCATTCGTTGTGAATACCCTGTTTATCCATCCTTCTCCATTTGTTTGAATGGCAGATCTGTCCATAAATCGCAAAACACGACACACCACTGGCGTTCACAAATATCTCAATTTTTTCAAAAACTACTTTTATGCGCTTTGTCCTTCAAGCTTCTTTTATTTTTCATAATTACTGAAATCATATAGGTGCGGTTTGGAGACAGTTTGCCAGATTGTTTGTTTGTTTGTTTGGTTTAGGTTTCGTAGTTGCGAAAAATTTGGAAAAGCGTGAATTGTGCGTCAATTAATGAATTTCAGACTTTTTCAATGTGTTCATCTTATTTTTTTTCCATTCTACCTCTGAAAAATCTATTCGATTATCTGTTCTTACCTCTCATGCGAAACAGACCCATTTACATGGTAATCCAAAATTTGGCATCTTTCTCTCGTCCCTCCTATTTATTGAATAATTGGAATACGTTATGCAATAAGTAGGAAGTCTGGCTCATTTAGAAACAACGTAAGTGCCATCGGTTTTCTTATGCAGATACGTGCTTTTACGGATGAACCAGAAATAATAACTCAGCCTATTAAATTGCGAAACATTGAAGCTGATCATTTTCAGCATATCTCTGGCCAATCAAAAACTGATCTTTGGATTAGCCGAAATTTTAGTCGGCAGTGACCACTTTTCATGTATTACTATCTGTTTTTCAAGATAAGGAAAAATTTTCGCTTTTCGGGAAAAAAAAGTACAGGACCACCATTAAGAGCAAAGGGATGGACTTTGAGAGAGATATTTTTTAATTTAGCCGTGGGTAATGGGTATTCATTTAGGATGTAAGTAAGTCACTCCTTTAGTTTATTTTTGATGTTTGTTATGCGAAAAAAATACCTACATTCATCACCCTGGTAAAAATTTGCGATAGGAGCTGCGTTTCAAAATACCATAGGAATTCTTATAGCCGACTGAAGAAGGCGATAGAAGATCATATAGCTGGCTAACGGAAGTGGAAAAAATCATACGGCCGGGCTATACGAAGCGATAAAAAATTATACAGCCGGTCTATAGTTCTTATCGCCGGGCTTTACACTTTATCGCCTGGCTGTTGCTTTTTCGCCATCGGCTATAAAAGGCTATAAGAAATTGTGTAGAAATTCGTGTGCTTTGCAAATCCTTAAGTTTGTATGGAATCACCTTAATATTTACAAAACGCACATTATATTTTCCTTTACTGCATATTTTTTTTCATCAATTAAAATGAGAATAATCCATACAGAGAGTGCAAACATTTCAAAGTCATGAGTTGAAAAACGCTGGCTCCGCGAGATTAAATATTGGAGCCTAACACAAAGCCGAGCGGCGGCGCACTGGCGCCTACAAACCTAACAGGGATACTTCACGCATTGCGCAATGCGTGAAGTATCCCTGTTAGGTTTGTAGGCGCCGATGCGCTGGCTGCCCGCCCGCCGCGCCGCAGCGTACCGCGGCGCTTGAAGCAACTATTTCACACCAGAGGTATTGCACAGTATCATACACAATTGAAGGCGCTCCAACATATTAGGAATGGCAGGCATCCTTCAAAAGTACGGAGCTTTCCTCGCAAAATAAATCAAGATACTACGGCCCAAAGAGAGAGCGGTAGTCCAAAAACTCACCAAGTCCTAGCATCCGTAATTAGTAACGTTTAGCATACACTTTATCGCCATGCTGTTGCTAGATCGCCATCGGCTACAAAAGGCTATAAGAAATTGTGTTGCCGGCTATAGAAGCTATTGGAAATCTTACAGCCGGCTGCAGGTCTATGGTATTTTGGGACACAGATTCTACTGCCAATTTTTACCAGGGCAATGAATAATGAATAACTACATGCGTATGTTGGTTGAGATGAGATTACCTGTCAAGACTGCGGCAGTCATGATACACAGATTCATCGTTCTTATCTGTAACAGAATTCAAAGCAATGGTCAAATTATGCGAGGATAAATGAATAGATGATAACATTTGCGGACATGGCTGATCCTTCCATGATACGACGTTGAGGATCACCTTAAACCACCCTTAATGACTAAGTAAACCCACAAGGCAACGGCGTGATGTGCTTTGCGATACATCGATTGATCTGCCATTTAAACCTACGGGAAAAGATCGAGTATTAGGGTGTTCGAAACGAACATCCTAATAATCGATTCTTTACCATATCTTCAAATGGGGAAATATCGATAATGGATCATTCACGCCTCGCCACTGTCACAAGGAGCCTCCAGAGAAGAGGGGCTGTTTACAGCTGTCTACGAATGATGAAAGTTCAGGGGGCCTGCATGGTTTCCGTGGTAAGGTTGAAAATAGTATCATTTGCCCCCACCTCCCGGAAATTCTGGATGGAGGAAAAAACTAAGAATATGTTGAGTTCAACAATTCGGAAGTATTTTGAGCTACATATGCACAAAGCAGTGTAATTTGTGTGCAGAAATGAATGAAACATTTGCATTTTGATAGCCTCAAAATAGTCCAACTAGAGCTAAAATTTCAAAAATTTTCAGGGGTAACAGAAAATCTAATGAACCCATCAAATTGAAGGTAAATTGAACTGAAAATTAAATAAACAGCGTAATTTTTTTGCAGAAATGGATGGGAACTTGGCGTTTTGATAGCCTCTGAATACGTCCAAATAGAGTTAAAATTTTAAGCAATTGTCTCGGGGAGGTCTTCCGGACAACCTCACTCTGTGTGTGTGTGTGTGGGGGGGGGGGGGGGTGTATTCCTTATCCTATGGATCCCCCCTGTAATAGGAGAGACAGACCCTTTTAACTACGCTTATGCTACAAATACGACCCCTAGGGCACGGGCTAGGATAAGTTGCCGTTGCGTGGATGAGCCTAGTTGACGTAAGTTTCTCGATGGGTCTCGAGGTTGAAGTTAGTTATTTGGACGTATTTATGCTAAAAGGAGCTATGTCACACGCAATCCCTATGCACATAGTTCCTTTTAGCATAAATATCCATTTGCCCATTGCACGATTGCAATCGACTCCGGTAGAGGGCACGCGCTGGGGTTAATGATTGCAGCGCTGGCGCCGCACAGTGGATCGAGGCAATCAGAGAGGTCGGATATGAAATTTTCGACTACTGCAAATTTTTATGTTTATTTCGTCGCATTTTGAATTTCAAGAGGTGCCTCTAAAAGAAAATTTCACAAGAAAACCAATAGAACCACTTTTAGAGCCTCACAGTTTAGTATAAACAAAGCTATAAGCGTTTAAAGTCTCCAAATTATATAATTGTGTCCGACCTCTCCTATTGACTCGATCCACTGTGCGCCGGTGATCCCTCGTTGATCTCCGAATCCTTCTCCTCCATAACGTGTCGCGCGGGTAATTCAAGTGTCGAGCTGTCACTCTCCGATGTGAGTCGGGTGGTCCCTCATGTAACGTCTTCATGGAGCAGGCACAGCATCCAACATCGTCAAAACACCGCACGACGCACAGTGCCCACAGATAGGAATTTCAAAGGCATGACTCATACAGTTTCTGTTTCTTTCTTCTTTGTACCGTCCAATACTGCCGTGCTAAGGAAAAACGCCGTATGAACATTCGAGTTTTGCCAAATTTTGTCTCAGTAAATATTTATTTTTAAAGAAAGTTATGAATATTTATCCTTGAAATTTTCAGAAACTTTAGGTGAAATCGCCAACAATAAATTATCTGAAAAATTGGAGGAAAAATATTCACAAATTTTTCCGAAAATTCGTGATTTACCAAAGGAAATGAGCAACGGCTGAAGGTTCATACGGCGTTTTTCCTTAGCACGACAGTAAAGAGGAACGCCGTCTGAGTCTCCAGACATTCCGTACCTCCTTTAATGAAAAACGGATGCACTGGGAAAATTGTGAATATTTTTCTTCAATTTTTCAAACAATTCTGCTTGTAATTTAATCTAAAATATCTGAAAACAAGGGAAAAGATATTTATAAGACTTTCCTCAAAAATATATGTTTTATCAGATGAAATTTGACAACTCTTGAATGTTCATACGGCGTTTTTCCTCAGCTCGGCAGCATGCCCATCCAGCACTTATTGTCAGAATACACCACTGTGTACGAGTACTCACCGAAGTACATGACAACCCGACTAATAAATCACAAGCCCGCTAGTTGTGTGTAGTAGCTTGTCGCTTTTTACTGCGACCAGAGGTGTTTTGTACTTCTAAATACCTGGAGTGACGCCCTCAAGAGTTAAAACTACATCTATTTTGGAAATAGTTGTTTGGACACACATCCCTTCTCGCGCTTTCCTTTTTCCATCTTCAATATTACCAAAAGTTAGTAAGCACCACCTGCGGGCTGACCATGGACATTGGTAGAATAAGCGATAGACAAAGAAGACGAAAGAAAAATAAAGCGATCCTTTCGGTGGAAGCGAGTTGTTGCAATGGACAAAGGAGGTAAGTAATAGACCAGTGGCGAGGCGTGAATGATCGATTATCGTTAATTCCCCGTTTGAAGCTATGGTAAAGAATCGATTACTAAAGTGTTCGTTGCGAACACCCTGTTTATCGATCCTTTTCCGTAGGTTTAGATGGCAGATCAATCGATATATCGCAAAGCACGCCACGCCACTGTAATAACAAACTAACGGCGACCCATGAGAGACTCTATAGTCAGTACATCATTTTCCCCCCATAATTTATCACGATCAACCGTTTTAACCAATAAGATCGCTCCATGTTCCCCACGTCTTCTTTGTCTAACGCTTTGTCTATCAGTTTCAAAAATCAGCCCGCAGAGGTATTCATTCGAATGCAAACAATTTTTTGGCGAGATTCAGAGAGGTCTTCCTCGCGGGCTGAGAAAAAATTGGGGGACTGGTAAACATGCCAATGAGCAACGATATTCTAACTGACGAAATCGCCGATCATGGCCGGTCCTAATCCGCCCATTCATCAGTCAGCAATAACTTCTGGAATTACGCGCACATCGGAGCGTGGCGCAAGTATTATGAAATACTAAATATTTTACGGTCCACACGAGAAGGAAGGGGAAATTGCCGTTAAGCTAAGACAGTAATCAACTCCAAGTCCAGTAATAGACCCTCTTTACCCTTTTCATGTCCCTACACAGATCGCAGATGGCAGCTACAGTATCTGCGAAAGGAGATGAACGAGGTACACTGACATGAAACTGGGTCAGGAGCGTCCCAGCAAAATTTTAGGGAGGGTGGCGAAAATTGTTCGGAGGAGTTAAAATTTCGGAAAAGCAGGAGCAGAAATTTAAACAATTCTGACAGCCCTGATGTTGATCCAAATTGACCAAAATTGCCCCAAAAATTGTCAACTAATAATAATCTACTATTGATAATCATTAGGAATCTTAATTCAAAAAACATTAATACTTCTGTTATGCTTATCATTCCGATGATATTAACTTCAATTGATCCAGATTTCCTGATTATTTAAATCTGAATAGTTACCCCAAAGAGTTGTAAGAGTTGTAAGAGTTGTATAGTTGTAAGAGTTACCCCAATTCGTCGTTTCTCCGACGAAGTATCGTAACTCCATTCCAAGGTTGCAAAGTCAACTAAAACAATTCGATTTTTTACAAGAGTGCACCTGAGCAATTTTCGTCCAAAATTTTTCTGATTTTTGCATGAGATCAGAGAAATTTTCAAATAGAGAGGTGTCAACAAATGGTTAGCGTCAATGGCGTCATGAAATGGTTTACTTTTCTTATGCTGCGTTTAAGTCTCCGAGCTTTCTTATGTGTTTCTCGACTCATTGAAGGTACGGGACAGGGAGTGTTTTTCACCATGGCTATCATGGCCAACTGGATTGGACAAATAGACAGCTGTCACGTCAGAAATAGTTTACTTTTCTCACGCTGCGTTTAAGTCTCCGAGCTTCCCTGTACGTTTCTCGACTCATTAAAGGTACTGGATTGGGAAAGTTTTTCACCATGGCTGTCATGGCGAACTGGGCTGGCCAAATAAAAAGGTGTCACGTCAGGAATAGTTTGCTTTTCTTACGCTGCGTTTAAGTCTCCGAGCTTCCCTGCGTGTTTCTCGACTCATTAAAGGTATTGGACAGGGAGTATTTTTCACCATGGCTATCATGGCCGACTGGACTGGCAAAATAGACAGCTGTCACGTCAGGAATACACGGAAAAATTGAATTGCTGATTTAACAATTCAATTGCTTAAAAAAAGTGACTGCAATGTTTTAATGTAGATTTTACAACAAAAAATGCTATTTTAACCACCCCCATGGTTAAATTAGCATTTTTTGTTGTAAAATCTGTGTTGAACCGTTGCAGTTACTTCTTTTAGCAATTGAATTGTCAAATCAAAAATTTAATTTTTTCCGTGTAGTTTACTTTTCTTACGCTGCGTTTAACTCTCCGAGCTTTCCTGAGTGTTTCTCGACTGGTTCCTTTATTTGTACACAGGTCCGGTTAATGTAAAATTAGGTACGTTAAATTAAGCTTCGAGCTTTACAGATGCCGAGAGGTTTTCATGAGTTTTATTAGATATTGATGGCAATTTCAATAGAGTACCGTTGAAAAGGTAGTAGACCACTGGCAAAGCTCCATACGGCAAAATATAGCCCAATTAACTTTGGCGATGGATCTATAGAGAGGATTGATGGGATTTTCCTTCGGAAGAATAAAAATAGGGGAAGCAAAATTTTATGATTTGTACAGGCTTTCAAATTACAGACAATTGATCTCCCTGAAAATAAACTCCCAATATCATTCTGTTTTTTCTTGGTTACTTTTTTAGTTTTTGCAGTAGATTATCATGCGGGTGATTTTGAAGATTATTTTAAAAAAAATTCGATTTTCGTTCGAAACTCCCGAAAATGTTCTACCTCTGATGCTGTCTTAGAAGTTTTCTTAGGCCTATTTTCATCACACATTAAATCGTGTCGATGGTAAAAATAGCAAAGTGCGTGCTAGTTGCGACGTTTCAAATTCTCTGCTGTCTATTTTTTTAAAAGAAAAGCTTGTGGAGGATATCGTTCAAATGTTTACGGAATATTTTGTATGATGATAAAAAATCAGTAAAAACCGTAGGGGATGGTATTCTTCAGTTTTTCTTTGATTTAACAATGAAATCTGACAAGAAATTTTACAACGTTGCAACTCGAGACACGTCTTTTGCAACCCTCAACATCAATATTATATAGCATCTTTATTTAAAAAAAAAAAAAAAAAAACTGTTGAGAAATGCCTTCAAGTACAGCCCTAGAAAAGGGAGGAGTTAAGAGGAAGAAACCTCTTAGGTAAACCGAAAAATCAATTCAAAACTCAAAAATCATTTAAGAAATCAATTCATTTCAATTCTTAGAATTGAATCGGTTTTTGGTAAGAGGGCTTAAGTCCGCAGAAACAAATTTTACAAGAGAGACAAGATATTAATTTTCTCGCCAAGTAGGCAGCTAAAAATTTTCTAGAGTATTAAAAGGATGGATAAGGATGTATGTTTATGTTCAAAAGTTCTTAAATAATTTTTTCTGGGGGCAAATGTTTGGCACATTTTAAGACTAATTTGAATTTGCACGCTTACACCCTTTTTCAAAGGAATGGAGGAAAATTGAGAGGCTTGGAGGACAAGGCGCATAAGTGCGGTTTTTGCTATTTCGAGAGATATATATGTGTTTGATGTCTCGAAAATATATGGGTCCTTTTGGCGGAAAGAAAGTTCAATCTGACTTTTCGATGCTTAAAAATTGGAGTCGGGGGGGGGGGGGGGTGGCAAATTTTTGGCAGAATATGCATTAAGACTAGTTTTAATTCAAATCATTGAACTCAATTTTTCTAAAACTGCACTTATGCTTTTTGTCCTTCAAGCCCCTCAATCGAGACATTCTTCGGACTATACATGGGTTTGAAAAGAGTTTTGAAAATTTTATCGCTCGCTTTTGTTACCTATTTAAATGAGCATAAAGGTGTAACCTTTTGATTAAAAAAATAATTTAATGCATTTTTTCTTTTTTTTTGAAAAATCTAAGGGAATATGTAAATAGCTCCCAAAAGGTCAAATATTGGAGAGAAAAAAATTGGAAAATTTTGAACTTTCGCTCCTCCACCAGAGACCGCGGCTCCCATTGTGGTTAGGGTCGGAGTATAAATCCACTCACCATTGTTGATCTGAGCGCTTGAGGAATGAGACACCTGAAAAATGACCCGGGGTTGGTGCAAATTAAAACACAGAGTACATTGATAAAGATCGCGATAGACAGTGGTTTGAGACAGACGCCCCTCCTTGGATATTCTCATATTTATAGGGAAGAGCAGATGATCCTCTCGAACTTGACTTACTCCCACTGGCCGCGTTGCAGGCGGCCATAAGTAGGTCCATTCACCGGTCATCCTCATCCATCGGAGCGAAAGCAAATGCTCGCTGGATTATTACGCGATGACCGAACTTCGATCGCTAGCTCAGCCCTTTTGTCACATCCATTCAGTGCCCGCGCAAAATTCCATCTTTTTAATAGAGTATTTGCAGGTGTCTGAAATTTGATGAATTTCGTGTTTAAGTGGAAACTACTGAGTAAACTGAACACGAGGATACCCTTGGTTCATGAATTGAACAATGGAGAATTTGCACACAAAAAAATTGCTTCATCTGAGAGTGCATCATAAGCTGAGTTCGCAGTATTTTTCATAATTTTTTTCTGAAATGGGGCATCGGAGAAAAATAGATTTAAAAGTGAGAAAATGTGCCGCCTTGTGACGTCGTCTGGCGGCATTTTCCATTTAAACACATGTATTTTGGCAAATTAGTTTATTCTGTCAAATTTCCTCCAATAATTGTTCAATTTAGAAACCGACGATATTCTCGTGCTCAGTTTTCCCAGTAGTATCATTTTAAACATGGAATTTACAACATTCCAGATACCCGCAAATTCTCCATTATTGCGTAGAAAATATATGACAAAATGATCTAATCTGCTAAAATACGTGCGTTTAAAAGGGAAATGCCGCCAGATGACGTCACCAGGCGGTGCATTTTCTCACTTTTAAATCTACAGTCATCTAGTGCCCAAAGAAACCCGGAGCACATCCAGGCTCCATCCGTCCACGCTCTACGCCTTTCAAATGGACCAGTGGAAACAGTAGGTACCTTTCCTTCAATTCTGATAATTCACAGTTCATCGTAGGAAGCTCATTTTATTTGTGCGAAACTTATTGAATTCACAACCGTTTTTGAGTAAATTGCGATCTTGTAAACGGCGAAGACTCTCTCAGTCCGGTAATCCAGGATTGCAAGAAAGGTCTAAGAAAACAGTTGAGGATTGCGCGAAAAAGGCACAAGGATTGCGCGAATATAGAAACCTTAACATCTGCTGCAGGATTGCGCGAATTTAAAATGAAGTTATAATTTAAGGTAGAAGTTTGGCATAACAGGAAACATTTGGAAAATGAATAAAGATTGAAAATGGTCGTGGGCATGAAGAACTTCCCTAACTTTTCTCGGAAAAAGTAATTAATCGGGAGAAACGAGGCAACGTTGGAATGCTCATGCGAAGGCGAAACACAGCATGGACCTTTAAAGCATCTCTTATTCGATGCCGCGATTATTCAAATGCGAGTTCAAGTAATTGCTCCAAACACAGCGCGGCCGGCATTAAACATATTTTAGCGCCTGCAAGACTGTGGGAATACTTCCCGCATTGCGCCAAACAGTGCAGTCGGCGTAAAACCGACTCAAGACCGGTATACCGGCCGACTCGGCTGACATATTAGCGCCCACAAGACGGCACGAATACTTCTCGCATTGCTCGCAAACGCAGTGCAGTCAATCAGTTGGCCGTTGGCATATTTGCGCCTACAAGACTGTATGAATGCTGTAGGACTGTAGGTGTTTACCATAACTAAAGGGAAAATATGTATCCTCATTGTAATGATTCAGAAACTCGGATGATATTTAATTATTATTTTTTTTGTTACATTAAAAGAAAATGGAACGATAGAAAACATCACGTCGAAATTGTTGATACTTTTATTTGAGATCATTTTTGTAAATTCGCGGAAATTCTTCAGAAAAGCTGTGTGTAGCTTTTTTAAAAGTGGTGCAGTCTTCCGCATTATAGTTATCTACCAACCAAGGTTGCCAGAGTAACGATTCCTCGTTGAATATTGAATATTCGCGCTAACACGTGAGTTTTTAAAACCAGAAAAATTCGCGCAATCCCAAGCATCTCCAAAAAGGTAAAAAAGGGTGCATTCGCGCAATCCTATCGCAGCTTCTCAGTCTAGCATGGTAATAGGATGACCACGGCAAGAAGACTTTAAAACCTTAATCCGACCCAACATTTGGGCTCTCTTATTTAAAACAAGACTTACAGGGAAAAACAATTTTGGCACGCAAAATAATGTTTCTCGGGAATTTTCAAAATTGCGGCTCGACTGAGGACTTCAAAAATCTGAACATTTCTGGTCAACGTCATTATGCAGGGCCACTCGGATAAGATTCTGAGGAGCGCCTTCACCCCACTATGTAATATTAATGCGAAATTCTGATACCACTATTCGTGCGTCGCGACAGACATGTTGCATACCCGACCAATTGAAGGCGAATCATTGACCAAGCCAACAGGGTACGAATTTCAGCAATTTCCTACACGTTTTTAGGGAACCGAACTCCAGCGGCTGTCCCACCGAACCTCCAAGAAGCCCGACCCTCAGGGGCTGCCCAACTTGGCATCCAAGGAGCCCAACCCCGCGCGGGCTGCCCCCCTGGCATCCAAGAAGTCCAACCCTCAAAGGGCTGCCCCACCTGACATCTATGGAACCCAACCCCCCGAGAGCTGCCCCCCCCCCTGACATCTAGGGAACACAACCCCCCAGGGGCTGCCCCCCTTGACATCAGAGGAGCCCAACCCCCAGAGGGCGGCCCTAGCTGACATCTATGAAACCCAACCCCCCGAGGAATGCCCCCCCTGACATCTAGGGAACACAACCCCCTAGGGGCTGCCCCCCTTGACATCAGAGGAGCCCAACCCCCAGAGGGCGGCCCCAGCTGGCATCTAAGGAACACAACTTCCCGGGGGCTGCCACCTTGGCATCCAATGAGCCCAACCCCTCAGGGGCTCCCCCCCCCCGGCAACCAAGAAGTCCAACCCTTAGAGGGCTGCCCCACCTGACATCCAATAAGGCAAACCCCCAGGGGCTCTCTCACCTGAACATCTTTGACCATCATCAAAGACTATCTTTGAAGCAAAAGATTCTCTCATTAAGTTTTTTTTTTTTTAATCTCCTATTTAATACTACTATATGAAGCAGCAAGGTAAAAGTAAAACAAATAGTCTTAAAATTTTGCAGCATAAAAAGTCAGTGTAATGTAACAAAAAAGAGCAATATTTACATGGTAATGTAAAAAAAATAAAATAAAAATAAGTTAATCATTCCAGAATCTTCCAGTTTTCACTCTTTGGCTCGGCAATATGCTGATTGACAATGAACTATGAAAGAATAGCAGCTGTGTTAGGGGCCGAAAATTAAAGACAAGATGCCTTCCTTGGAAAAAAAATAAATAAATTAAAATCTTTAGATAAAGCTAAAATTTAAGAAAGGTCTTAAAGGCAACTTTGCTTTGTTTGTCTACTTGAAGACAATTGCAAGTCAACCTTAAAAAAACTTGAGGACGCAACAATGATCAAAATAACAGTTCTGACTTAAGGTGCTTCGACGATTGCAATTTTTTGTGTCAGAGTAACGTGCAATATATCGCACATCGCTCTGACACAAAAAATGGCGACCGTCGAATCAACTTAATAAGTGATGTATCATTATAAAAAACAATTAAAAATAGTGATTCTGTTTGAAGAGCAATAAGGAATACTTCTTTCAATAAAAGGCCTGCCCTCTATCTTAAAAGATGTACAGCAAAAAAGATAGGATCAAGGTGTACTGGCACACACACACAATTAATGGTATTAACATCATAACTGAACGGCTTATCTCAGCAATTTCACATTTTTCTCCAGAAATCTACATTTTTCATTCACAGTAAAGCTGAATGATAGACATCACATAACTGTAATACTAGTCCGTCATAATTGCTACATCTATTAAAACATTTTTAACGCCAATCATCGATTCCAACATTAGTTTGAATGCTGGGTCATGCGATCAGTTTATGAATCTGAACCTCTCTGTTAAAGCTTACTTATGAATGAATCGAATTTAGCAGAGGGGGACCACCAGAGTTACCCTTTTGTAAAAATTGTGCAACTTAATCTCTACCTGAAAATTACCTGGAAGATCCGACTCTTTCGGTTTCTCTGCCAAAAGATTGTCAATTTTATACTATTCTTTACATTTCATCAAGGGAATATGTATTTGATATTATTAAAAGTAAATAAAACATTGCACAATTCTGACAACACTGTAATTGCAGTGTTTCCCTTCTGCTAAATTCGATCCTCACGAGATATAAGAGAACATTATACATCAAACATACAGAAAATCATGGTATGCTATTTTCATATAAATTATATTCATCATGAAAAAATGAAAAATACTCTTTTGTAAGTAGCTGTCAAAGGATCACAGGAATACAATGTGGCAGAGAATCTAGTCTAATCATAAAATCGAACAATCCTAGGAGCAAAAACATTCCTTAAAGGGAGGAAAAAGTTTTTATTACTTATTATTGCTCTAAATTTCTTTCATTTGAATGTTAAAAATTAATAATACCATGAGTGACTTAACGACTTTATTGGATTTTTGTACCGTTATTCGTTGAAAATATACTCAAATTATGGTAGTTTAAGCGGCAAATCCAAAAAGAAACATTACCAGAAATTCCTATCCAAATGGTGGTATACTGGTGAGATTTTAACAATAAAAGATAAAAGAAAACAAAAAATTAAAGCGGAAAAAATACAAATAATAAGTTAAAAAAAGTTACTTTACCGACAAACTTAACAAGTACATAATAAACAAATCTACGAAAGACTAAAGCAAGCTTGAGTAAGCTGTTTCTGATTTCCATTTAGATCATTAGTGCTGACAAAAAGTTTTCCCAACATTTCCAACCAGACTAATTATTTAGTATCTTCTTCCGAATTACACCCGTTTTAAAACTTGGTAAAATAATGTGAAAATTTGCCCGGAGACAAACACAGTTGAAAAAAGTGTTACAGACCCATGGAAAGTTCAGCCTGCATCTTCAGAATAATGTACCTTGTGCTTCTGAGGGAAAAACTTAAGAAGCTTCGATTAAGTTAGACATAAATTCAAGGCTGTGTGCTTGGAATGCTTAATCTCAAAGCTAACTACAAAGAAGCAGAGTCAAAAATCTCGATGGCCAAGGTGTGAAACAACGTATTTCCGTATACTTCCAGTCTTACTTTATTTTTTTCACTGGAGAACTAGTCAACTTAATTTCTTGAAAACTTCCTTGATTGTCTCCTCGCTCAGCAGAGTGCTCTGTATGGATTTCAAGGTATAAAGTGGGCTTGTCTCTTTTCAAAAGAATATGAGAGGAGCAGAAATTTGAATAATCGCAATGGAGCTACGTATTTCTGCACTTTAGCCATTGATCTAATTATGTACCTACATTGTGAGAGGACAAATTAACAATGACAAGTAATGAGAATCAGAAGAGTATCACACTGTTGACAGCAGCAAAATTTGAGCCCAGCTCACAGGGGAGGACAGCTGCTACATGAGACATTTGGACAGCGATAGACAAAATGTATACACAAAATTCTATTTTGGCATGTGAAGTACACTTTAAAAGGGTTCATGCCAACCTAACAAAATGCTAGAGTAGGGGTGTAAAACAATTTTCGTTCCTCATGTCATAAAAAATTTGCAGTTTTCAGAAAAATATTTAAATAATCCTACAGCACAAAGCTTAGTCTAAATTTGATCTATTCAGAAATTAGTCCTGAAAATCATTGCTTTTTACCTTCAATCTCTAAGTAATGTTGCTAATGAAACAATGTCTTGAAAGGAAAGACACGTTGTGAGTTTGGTTTTGTAATTATGGTAAAGAAATGAAAAGCTCACATTTTACGGGAGCTGGACAACACTTTTGGTGATCTTACAAATATTAGAAATGAGAATGGTGGCATGATTACTTTGTATGAAGATGGAAATGATTTCAAAGGAACAAAACTTATACAAACACCAGTTTCTAGAAAAAAATGCATACGGCTTGATGACTCATCTTGATGACTCTTTTGAGGAATGACCTTTTTTTCTTCATTTTACAAGAAGACTAAAACAGATTGGATTTCTTCTCTACAAACAGAGAAAGGTGCATTACTTTCATTCCTGCAAGGACATTCCTTGGATGAATGAGCTTAAGTCTGCAGTTTCTTTGCAATCAACGACAATTTCTGAGCCTATCAATGCACAATCTATCAAAAACTGAGCTGCGTTGCGACCAGTCAAGTATGCTCCGTGAACAGTGGAATAAAAGTTGGTATGAGTGTGCTCACCCACAAAAAGAACAGCAGGCTGAAAAAAAAAATTTTAATCATGTTACAGAACATTGATTTGTAAGCAGTTAGTGGCATGTAACAGACCTTCAGAGCACTTTACTTTAAATTTTCAAGCAGATGTATATTCAGCTCCTATTTAAACGCGCATGGCTGAGAAAGCAAAGATGGCGTTCAAAAGAATCCCTTTCGCTATAGGTATAGGTGCAACTCTTCTGTCACGATTTACGATCTGTGCGACCATTACCAGAGAAGGACACACATCATCAATTGCCGTAGAGGATTCTTGTGGTTAAAAGTATGCCAATAGCAGAACAGATATTTTCAGATGCTATCTAGACTATCTTGGCGATGAACGTTTAAATGAGAGCAGAAAATACAGAACTTTGAAGTTGTTTTTCATTGGTTTCAATGTTGCTGAAAAAAAATAGGAAAAAATTCCTGTGAGCTAACTGCACTCTCTTCTTTTCAAAATTGAGCTGTAAAAATTAATGAACAAGCTCGTTCTTCCTTCTTACTTTTCAGCTTGATCCAGCTGGTTTCATCTGCATTCTACTAAAGAAAAATTTCATTATTATTTCTGTTTATCATTATTTCTTGTTCCAGAAGATGATCACACTAAATCAAAGAGAAAATATATTACATTATCGCAACTTACTCTTGTTTGCAGGGAGTTACTGTAAAGAGGCTCTTTGATTTGTTCTATTTCAAATTGGGTGGCGCCTACGGCCATGGCAGTATATGAGCCTTGTGAATATTTATCGCTATGCCATTGTGAACTGAAAAAGATCAACGGCCAATTTACAAACAAGATATCGATGATGAGAAAGTCACATCTAAAGTCAATGATATGCTGAAAAAGATTACAGTAGATACTGATAAAATAGTTCCTTACATGTCACAGATTTGCATAAGCCAGTAGGCTCAAGAATGACGAAGAGAACAACAAAACCTCTCTGGAAATTGTTACACTTTTTGAAACTTACGTACTTTGCCTTTACAGCTGGTAGTGTACAACTAAATATGCTGAGAACTACACTCTTAAGATTCAAGATCATCATACCGCCCTACTACATCCAACGTTTTCTGACAAAGTTGGAGTTTCCATAATTTCTTCATTCTTAATTTTCTGACTAATCCCTGACTCCAAAATTTCCGCATTCCTTAACTCTTCCTAACCTTCCAGCAAATTTTCTACTGAGACTTTTTTTTCTTTTCAATTAATTACGCTGACTTTTCTGAACTTTGGATAAAATTTCCTCTTCTAGGTGTTTAAATGATAGAAAAAGGCATTCAGAAATAGTTTGCGCTCCCTTGAATGGTACCGGCTGAAGTTGCTGAGCAGAGACACGATTAACACATTCTGAATTTATCAGGTTGCTGTATATTCCCTGATGCTCCAGGATTTTCACACCGGAAGAAACCCTGGAGATTTAAGGAAAAGAGATTCAGAAGGAACAAACAAGAACAATCAGACTTATTGTTATTTGAGGCAGAGAAAAACATTATTCAAGAAAAGAAAATAAAACATATTCTCCTTACCAAACACAAAGTTTAGGCTTTGGAATGAAAGGGTCATTGAGAAATTTCCTGAGAATGTCCGTGCAAGTGTCTCCAATCTCTTGCGAACTTAATGTTTCCATGTACTCCGCTTCTTTACCGCTAATCCAGCCTAACAGAAGCGTTTCACTGACTTTGGAGAAAGAATATATTTTCTTGAACCATCTACTAGATAAATCTTCTGAAACAGTTCAATTGAAAAACAGGTAAAAATGAATGGCGCTCATTTAAAACTTTGAGATTATTGTCATAATCTACATTTGAATTGATTATTTTGGAGAAAGATCGTCTCAATTTTTTCAGGACTAAAACTTTCTTCGGAGAGGAACTCGTACTACCTTGATAGGTTGACTTGCACATATTTTTTCAAAGGGAACCCTATTTGATATGAAGTCATTTCTGAATAGTTGATTGCCTGAAGACTGTACTTAACACCCTTATCCTTTTATTTGAGGTTTCCCTGACGAAATGAAACTTTTGACTTCATTTTGAGTTCACTCTTCTCCATCTTACATATGAAAGACACTTAGTCGATATTTCATCCAACGATATCATTATAAATTATATTTTCCCTTCAAGGAGATTAAACAAAATTTATAATTCTTTCCTTTTTTCCTAATTTTCTACCTTTATAGATGGAGAGGGGGAGAGCAGCACATGTTATGAATGATTTAATGATTTTGGATAAATGATTTGTTAAATCCTTGGATAAAGATATCACCTAAGAAATAAATCTGATGTTTTCTCTCCGGTGTAGATAAATATTTCCTCATAACAGAAAGTAGATATTTACCTTTAAATTCATCATTTGTCTGATTCCAAAGAAGCAAAACCTCTGTGACATCAGTATTTAGGAACGGTCGGTCGTAAACTAAGAAAATTTTATTTACAGTGCCAAATAACAGCCTATCAATAGCTTCTAATTTGTAGTCTGGTAATGGTGGGGAAAAGAGCGTTCTAGCACAATTTTTTAGGACACCTGCAAAAATAAAAATTGTGGAACAACGATTAGACTAAGCAGCGTACAAAAAAAAAAAATCTTTCTGATAGATAGCTGAAAATAAATCAAGATCTTAGAAGAAAATCCTACACTTGGTGGGATTATGAACAGTTGTATTCTTTCTAGTAAGAGGCACATTTTCTGATACAAAAAAGGAATTTCAATTTTTACAGTTTTTGGACAGAAATTTGCGGTTTCAAAATAATTTTTTGATAGGTATTTGCTATAATTAATTGGATTTCTTTTTATGTTTCTATATTTTGGGACGAGCAAAACTCTCCTCAAAAGTTCGCTGTTCAGACTACCAAACCCAGAAATGAACCTAAAAGCAGTTTGCATAGTCATGAGGATATCTCAAGTCATTAAAATGAAAATGAGACCTTGCTGAACAAAGTATTTTCACAATGACGCTTCACAAAGGATTTTCTGCAACTTTCTTAAACCACCCTCTTAAAAGATCCACCTTTATGGAAAATGGTGAGTGTCTCACTGATCTTGTAAATATTAGTGCTGAAAGAAAATTCTTACCTAAGGGTAAGGAACAAATCACAGTTTCTGCTATAAATCTGACACCATTATTGCACACAACTTCTATCCTATTCGGAGGTGTACTTTGGCTCTCCGTTGGGCAATCACTATTATGCCTTGATCGAAGACTCGACTCCTCAACTATTGTATGACTAGAATCATCAGACTCCTCTGAGTCCGCATCTGCATCCGCCCACGTAACTTTTGTTACTTCATGGTTGAGCAGCAATTTTTCAGGTGGTATCAGTTTTACAATTGGGTTGAGTATACTACTGTAACCCTTCGGTAGGGAGATATTTCCACCTTGAAGCTCTACATAACTACCCAGCTCGAGAAGGTCAATATCATTCATGTTATCACAGCCGCTAATACAGGATTCACGTTTAAGTAGGCATTGGAAAATTAAACTCCGAACGTGTTTTTGAGTTTCATCAGGGATTTTGTCAAGGTAAAGGGCCGCTTCTAGATTTATGTGCTCTCCCACGCTGTTGATGCCCTCTGGGGGTTCGTACTGGCACAAAAAGTATTCTTCACAGCGGTGCAGGAAGCAGGAGTAAGCTTCGAAAATTTCCTAGAAAACATAAAGAATAATGTTGTTTATGATAAAAAAAAATGTGGAAAAAAACCCATTCGTTCACATTGACTAATTAATTCTGATTTTAGTGACATCAAATAAAAGTTGAGGTATGCTACTGAAAATATGTGGGCACAGCACTCGACAGCAGTGAGCAACAGAGGTTATTGCTGGAATGTAAATGGATACTATTCACTGTTTAAAAGCTGATTGATACAACAGCAAAAAGTCAAATCTGCTGTCAATTTCTTGAATATTTGTTGCCCGGACCAGAAAGTGCGAGATTAAGATAAAATGATCAGACGTGCTTTTTTCAGGAGTGTATGGCTTCAATCGACGAGAATCGACCGAAAAATCAAAACGTAAATCAATTGACACCGATTCGATGGACAAATTATTAAAAAACCTGTGTTGATTAGATCAACATAATTCAATAAAAAAAAGTGAATCGATTGACGCAAAACGATCGACACCAATTTGATGGACAATTAATTTTAAGAAACCGGTATCAATTCAATCGACATGAATTGATCGGAAAACCAAAACATTAACCGATTGACATGATTAGATTAATTCACAGCTTTGTTGATCGACTCACGGCTATTTTTGATCGACTCATGGCTATTTTCGATCGACTCATGGCTTTTGTTGATTCATCCATGACTTTGTCAATCGACTTACGGATTTGTCAATCAATTCCTGGCTTTTGTCGATCCATTTACAGGTTTGTCGATTGATTCACGAGTTTGTCAATCGATTCACAGCTTTGGTCGATCGATTCACAGGTTAGTCGATCAAACCCAAGACTAAACTTATTCAAGAATCGGTAGGGTAGACAGCGGACTGAGCGGACTTTGTCGGCATCTCCACTAAAATATGTTGACCACAGATCGGTGCCTAAGGTGCCGTCCCACGCAAAATCATCAGGCAGATTCATCTAGGTTTTAGGTTCCGTACCTTAAATAAAATCGATCAAATCTATTGAATTACAAACCTGTAAGATGCTGAATGGCACTTGTTTACCATCTTCAAGAGCTGCTACAACTTTGTGTGGTTTTGGTGTTTGAACGATGTCTATTAAATTGTGAGCCATTGCTATCTCATACATCGGATTCCCTAGGACACCATGTATCCGATTTGCTCCAAGGTCCAATTTTTCTCCTTCTGTTAAAAATATTGAGGAGGATCAGTATAAAAAGGGAGCAGCTTTAGCGCTGAAATTCTCAATGCTGAAAAGAGAAACTTGCAGTGATTCAAGTAAATTAACAGCAATTCTGAGAACATTTTCATTTGTGAGAGATCCAAGTTTTACTTGGAATTTTTCCAAATAATTGAATTTAGAGGAAAATGATACTTAGGTATGTTAAGGGTATAGATACTAAAAAAATCTGAGGTCAAAATAGCAAATCCTAAAAAGATAAAGCGCATAAGTGATAGCCTTACTCCGTAATTAATGATAGTCTATAACATGACTTCTGCCGCAATCTCAAATTAATGTTCGTGCATCATACCTTTCAAATTGTGTCTTCATCAGTTTTGTTTATATGTTGTACAGGGCTGAATGGATTATAAAGCATTCATTTATGTAGACATAAGTTAACATAAAAATGTACAACATCGTAGCAGCATTCTGATTAAAGCATTCTTAATTTAATTAAAGGGATCCGGACAATCACAGCTTGACTCAGTTTTCCACTCATCAAAGAACAGAGGAGAAAATATGTGAGACTCTGCTCCAAAAACCACTGAGCAAATACTTAGTCAACGAAGGGAAGTACGGACACTCTGCATTAGCTCAGGAAAAGAGGACATCCATGAGGGTAACTCCGGTGGATGTTTACTGAAGTCAAAACTGGATGGTGGAATGATGTTGGCATGACACTAGACACATGTAAATTAAAAGGAGTACTAATTTGGCCTGTCAATCACTAGGTTTGGCTGTACTTGATGCTCAGCGCAAAACAATTGGGGCAGACAGTTTTCAATAACCAGCAGTTTTCTTCTTGGACGCTGCAAACTAGTCACTTGTGATGAGAAGAAATACATGTCTAAGATACACTGCCAATTATTAGACATCAAAAGAATTGAAAAATGAGAGTCTTACGAATTTCAAAGCTAGATATCCGTCCTCCTATTTTGTCCTTGGCCTCCAGCACAACAAAGTTGGTGTCATTATTCTTTACTAAATGATTCGCGGCAGAAAGTCCGGCTATTCCTGCTCCAATAATGAGAGTTTTTACGAACTTATCATTCTTTGTTTTCACGGCTGGAGCCTCTTCCATAATTTCGCCTACTGGTAGAAATCCATCAGTTCTTATCACTTATCGACTCACAGAAATTAGGTTTTTTGGTTATGTTTACGTTTTTATTTTCAGTTAGTTTGGCAATGCTGTAAAATACATCGTTGTCAACTGGAGCATGCGCGCGGCGCAACTGGCAAATGCGCAGGTCTCGGAGTCATGTCAAGCGGGAAATTTAAAGTTCAGGTGATTAGTAAAGTTCAAGTGACGTGGTCGAACTGGCATGCGGACGCTCAGCGCAAAACCCGCATTGGCGCCTACAAACCTAAGTAGATACTTCAAGCATTGCGCAATGCGTCAAGTATCCCCTTAGGTTTGTAGGCGCTAGACGCGCAGTGGCTCCTACAAACCTAAGGGGATACTTCAAGCATTTCGCAGTGCGTGAAGTAGCCCTGTAGGTTTGTTGGCGTCGTCGGAATCCGTGACGCGCTGGCAGCACGCCGCGCCACACCACCCCGCAGTATGGTCCAGAACTTAAAAATAGGAAGAAATAAGTCGGTTAATGGCTGAAAGATTGCGAAAGTTCGATTACATATGTTTCTTGAGTCGCTTATTTCGAATTTGATGCCAAATTGTCAACATTCTTACACGTACACCCTGACCGATTAAACGCGGTTTTTCTCAATTCATTGAGGAAATCAATACATCAGACAAGTTTGAAGGTGGATGAAAATTGTTAAAAAAGCATCAGTACTCAAATTTGATACCTGTATTATGCACTAACATCTGTCGAACAATGAAATAGTTATGACAATGCTTCCCCTAGACCCCGCGGGGGGGAGGGGAGGGGGGGGGTTCACAGAAAATTGTATGGGATTATATGGCAAGCTGCATTTCCCTCGAATACTTTTGGCAAGAACCTAAATTACATTAGCCTAATCTAGCTTAACATGCATGATAATTCCATCCAAACAATTTGGCTACCAGGTTTACAATTTTTTTTAGAATTAATTCAAGCTTCTAGAAATTTTGTAGCTTCTTGTTTATTGTTTAAAAGCTTCGTAAGGGGTATTGTCTTTTTATTGATCTATATTTTTTCAAACGTGGTCGAACGGACAAGTACGGTTATACATGTAGCGGATAGTGTGCCCGGGACGGAACACCATAGTATGATTCACATGTCCGAACTTCTTTTCTCAGCGTAAATTACTCGGTGCTTGTATATTCACGGCTAGCTTATAGACGTTTGGCAAAGCTAGGAGAATCACATCAAATGAATGAAATTTATCAACGTATATAGCAACAAAAATCTTGTGCTTTCCTACTCAAATTATTCCTATGAGATGAACCTTTACTCAAGCCGGTCTCGAAACTTCCATTTCGTGACTATCAGAGTAAGCAAGGCGACACTTGAAAAATTGCGCATTTAAAATTTTAAATGAAATTCGGATACGTCACAAATAATTGGGCTCTTCTCAACTCTCAGAGAAGTCAAAAGAAATGGATCTCCATGTCACTTGATGTTTGAATTTTCCCGAACAAATAGTCTGTTCGTTTTAGATCGGCAACACTGGAAAAATTCACTGATTAAGTGAAATTATGGCAACACTGTAATTAATTTGGTTTTTGCCAATTCTCTACTGCATTAGATTGTAACAAAGACAAAAAAATGACTATTTACACGACAAGGAGACTGTGTACAATTCTCGTAGCGCACCTTTCCTTATAGCCAAAAATGCGACTTGCGGCATCTCGAGAATAAATCATTTCGGCCATTTGTTGCAGTTTGTTGCAGCTGAATCCTAGCTTAATTTGAGGCTTTATGTACAAAGGAACTTTTAATGTTAGAATCATCGTGACGCATCGCGACGTAAAAAGTTGGCACCCACATAGAGACGCATTTTTTTCTGAAAACCCATCGGTTGAGAGCTTGCTTGTATCCCGGTTAAAGTAGCGAAGTATCGGATACATAAATCAATCAACACATGATTTATCATTAGGATGCTTCCCGGTTGAGATTTCATCGCAATGTTGTGGTGCTGGTTCAAAACCACACCGATTTTCGAGATGATGTTAGCAGTTCCAAAATGTAATCATCAATTAGTAAATGTTGTGTTGCAGCGCGCTCTACTTTGAGTTGCTGTCCTGATCTTATCAATCATCATCGAGTGCTGAAAATTCAAATCAAGCATTCTAGGACCATATTCTAGAAGCTTACAGTGAGAAATCTCTATTTTCAGCACCTTCCAGAATGGACTTATTTCCGCCAATTGGAGATTTTTGGACCATAGTGCGCTCCGACGACGCCTACAAACCTAAGGAGATACTTCACGCATTGCGCATTGCTGGAAGTATCCCCTTAGGTTTGTAGGCGCCCATGCGCGTTTCGAGCTGAGCTTGACAGCGAGCAACTATTTTAACTCCTTGGCGATCAAATTGCGTGTCCGACGAAGTGAAGGCACTCTCAATGAGTCCGGCAATCTGCACTCAGCCATTTCAGCGAGGGAACCGCTGCGTTCAAATAATAATTAATAACATCCGTGCTGAATGAAGGCTACGCTCCACACCCATTACATTCCTGTATCCAAGAGTTAAAGTTCATATGGCGTATTTTAAAATTGCAGAAGTACAAGCACACGGTAAAAAACTCTTACATTAAGTTTTGCAAGAAAAACAAACTTTCTTCAATAAACTCATCTATATAAAACATATGTTATTTGTGATAGAAGCGTTTCAAGCCCGTTTCAAGCGATCCCAACGCAACGAGCGTACTGCCATGCTGAGAAAGAACGCCGTATGAGCCTCTAGACGATGCCACACTTCTTTTGACAAATCATACATTTTCTGAGAAATTTGGGAGTATTTTCCCTCTAAAGTTTTATGGAATTTCGTTCGTAATTTGATGTGTCTAGTAAAGTGTCTGCAAATTTCAACGAGAAATATATATGTGTCCTCGAAAATTGGTATTTTCTGAGAGTAAATTTGACAACAGTTGAATCTTCATCCTGCGTTTTTCCTCACGACGGCAGAGTAGTACTCATGTGTAAAAGTATACCAAGAGTAAGTACAATACTGCCGTGCTAAGGCAAAACGCCGTATAAACATTCAGGCGTTGCCAAATTTCCTTTTACAAAACGCGAATTCCCTGGAAACGTATGAATATTCTCCTCCCGATTTTTCAGATAATTTTGTTCGCAATTTCACCTAAAGATTCTGAAAGAGTAAAGGAAAAATATTCATAACTTTCCTCAAAAATAAATTTTTTATTGAAGGAAATCTGGCAACTATCAAATGTTCATACGGCGTTCTTTCTTAGCACGGCAGAATACGTGCAGTCACTTTGAAAACTCTTTGAAATTCCCCAAAGCTAGGTTTTTCCCGATAAAATTTTTCTGATGGGGGAGGGCAATTTCAGACGGCTCCCTCTCACCGATCCGCGTATTTCCATGTTTTAAAACATGGGAGAGGGCCCATTCGTGTACAATAATTTGAAGTTGTCACTGAATGAAATGAGAGAAGATGAACTTGATCAGTAAGTCAGCTTGTTTATGTGTCGATGTGTTGGTGTGTATGTAGGTAACGGTGTGCATCACGACCCGGTTCGCCCATTTGGCACCGAACTGGCCTCGAAAAATTGATAGCTCAGTTCCGATGCGAATATGCAGACCTCCCCAGCGACAGAGATCGAACGCCGAACCTCGTTATTAGTAAGGATTTGTAAAGTGGAAAACTGTTAACCAATAACTAAACCCTCTCGAAGCAAGCTTTTGTGTTTATCGATGGCTAAAGTAAAGTAAAGCGCATAAGTACTGTTTTTGCTATTTAAAAAAATACGTGTTTGAAGTTCCGAAATTACACGGATCCTTATGGCGGAGAGAAAGATCAAACTAACTTTTTGACCCTGGTAAAAATTGGCGATAGGAGTTGCGTTTCAAAATACCATAGGAGTTCTTATAGCCGACTGAAGAGGGCGATAGAAAATCATATAGCTGGCTATAGAAAGTGGAAAAAATCATACGGCCGGGCTACACGAAGCGATAAAAAATTATACAGCCGGGCTATAGTTCCTTTCGCCGGGCTTTACACTTTGTCGCCTGGCCGTTGCTTTTTCGCCATCGGCTATAAAAGGCTATGAGAAATAATGTAGAAATTCGTGTGCTTTGTAAATCCTTAAGTTTGTACGGAATCACCTTAATATTTACAAAACGCACATTATATTTTCCTTTACTACATATTTTTTTTCATCAATTAAAATGAGAATAATCCATACAGAGTGTGCAAACATTTCAAAGTCATGAGTTGAAAAACGCTGACTCCGCCAGATTAAATATTAGAGCCTGAAACAAAGCGGAGCGGCGGCGCACTGGCGCCTACAAACCTAACAGGGATACTTCACGCATTGCGCAATGCGTGAAGTATCTCTGTTAGGTTTGTAGGCGCCAATGCGCGTTCAGCGCTGGCTGCTCGCCCGCCGCGCAGCAACTATTTCACACCAGAGGTATTGCATAGTATCATACGAAATTGAAGGCGCTCCAACATGTTAGGAATGGCAGGTATCCTTCAAAAGTACGGAGCTTTCCTCGCAAATTAAATCAAGATACTGCGGCCCAAAAAGAGAGCGGTAGTCCAATAACTCACTAAGTCCTAGCATCCGTTATTATTAGTAACGTTTAGCATACACTTTATCGCCAGGCTGTTGCTTACTCGCCATCGGCTATAAAAGGCTATAAGAAATTGTGTTGCCGGCTATAGAGCTATTGGAAATCTTACAGCCGGCTGTAGGTCTATGGTATTTTGGAACACAGATTCTGCTGCCAATTTTTACCAGGGGATGCATAAACATTGGAATTTGGGAGCGAATTTTTCACAGAATATGCATTAAGACTGCTTTACTTGAACTTGTTTTACTTGAACTCATTAGTATCTCAATTTTTACAAAATCTCCACTTGTGTACCTTGTCTTACAAGCCCCTCAATTTTGGATTTGGAGTCACAGTCACTCTTAGCACGGTCGATAACGCCCAGGATGAAATCTGGAAGTCCTTTCACTTTTCGGTTGAAATTGTGTGCTCGCATCATGCGAGGAGTTAAAGGATGAGAGTTGATGGA